AGGTCTGGATCTTTATGAAATCTGATGGGAAGATGGGGTTGGGGGGACGGTGAGGGGCAAGTTGCCAGGAGCAGGAAGGAACATCCACCCGACTGCTGTCTCTTATACACATCTGTCTCGCTGCGACCGCGACCGCCGCTTTTTGCGGAGTCCATGGCCCCGCGTCGGGCCATCCATGGCTCTGCTGCGCCGGGGTCTCCCCGCTCGCCCGCCACAGGCTACGGCCGCGGCCACACAAAAAAAATTGACACCGAGCCCTCCCTCCCCTTCACGGCTTCCCTCCGCCCCGAGGAGGGCGCGGGGGAGACGGCGGCCGAAAGAAGGGAGAGAGGGGAAGAAAGAGAGGAGAAAGAAAAGGGGGAAGGGGCGGAGAGAGGGGAGGAGGGACGGGGAGCGAGGGCGAGAGGCGAGGAGCCCAAGTGTGGGGCTCCCCACAGCACCGAGGGTCGGAGATGCCTGGGAGCAGCGCCGAGCAAAGTAATGGCTGAACACACAGGTCTCCTTTAGAGGAAAAAAAATAACTCACCAAGCAGGCAATAAATCAGAATAGCGGAATGCTTTGATCAAGAGACTGGGAGGCTCCGGGGAGCCCTCCCCGCGGCCATTCTCCGCCGCGCCCCCCGCCCCCCGAAAACGCCCGCGCCCCCCTCAACCTGATCCAAAATCGGGTCCGAAAAAGGTCGCGGGAAAAGTGGGGGCAATGAACTTCACCCGCCCCTCGCGCAGGAAAACACCCCCGCCGCCTCTCACACACGCCTCGGAGAAAACTCACTCCCAGTCTCCCTAATTTTTAAGAAATGCAGCCAGGGGAGGCCGGGGCTCCGGAGCGACCCAAAAGGGGCGAGACCCCCCAGAGAGGGGAGCATAATAATGCAATCATTAGAGGAGGAGAGGGCGAAACTGCGAGCGGCGGAGGAGAAGGGAGGCGGAGGAAGGGAAGGAGGATGCTGCTGGAGCAGTTGTGGGGTTTGCTTTTCGGTCTTCGAGGGGGGAGGAGAGGGAGATGAAAGAAGAGAAGAAGCAAACCCTGTCGCTGCCACCCGCCCCCCTCCTCACAAAAATATTTTTTCCAGTCCCAGAGAAGAGGTCACCCTTCCTCAAAAAAGGGAGGGGGTGAGTCAGTCAGTCGATGAGGAAAGCAGAAAGAAATCTCCAGCGGGAGAGACACCGGTGTGCCGCCGCCGCCGCCGCCGCTTCTCTCGCCGCCCCGCCTGAGGGAGAAGC